AAGATTTTTCGGTTGGCTTTCATCCCTCAAAATTATAGGGCAAAAGTCTGACTGACTCTGAAAATTGAAGAATCATAACAGCTGAAAATGAGAGAAATCTGGGTTCAGATTCTGCAGGTACTATAATATTTATGAGCTCTGTAATATTGGTTTAAAAACCTCAATTCTTTGTAAGCCTTAGTTTCCTCACATTATAAATGGGGATCATAATATCTCTTCCATAGGGCTTTGCAAAGGATTAAATGATGGAATACGCTTGTAGCATTTAATACAATGTATGCATAAAGTAATCTCCAAATCGCTCAGTGCTGAAGAGATTATTAGCTTCTACACTCTTAACCTGGAATGAGGCCTGCCTTGTACGTGACTATCAGACACAAGGTGACTTGCTGGTACAAGACTGTGGGACACAGAGGTCAAATCCCTGGATTAGTTTCACCTTGAGTTCTTGCTTTCTTTCTTAAGAAGCTTCTGGAACTATGGGCAGTCAGCATAAGAACTGTGAAAAGATCAGGAATATCATGACAAAGACAGCAACAATGATTTGTAGGGAAAGAGTGAAGGCCTTAGCTTCGAAGACTGAGATTCTAGTATATGGAAGTTTAGGATTAGGACAGTGCAAATGTAGTTCCATCTTCCTTGCATCTAACAGAAAACAAAATGGGCTGAAGATACAGTTTTATAAGAAGAACATTTTGGCAGAGGAGATATAACTGAGCAAGTAGACAACACCGTTATCTGGAAACATCTATGGTGAAGAAGTATGACAGACCACAGGTACCATAAGGTTTTCAAAAGTAGACACAAAATCTGCTTCGTGCACAGTATTCACTAAATAAATTCAGAATTCTTTCACTTTTCTAAATAGGGAAGCCACTCCATAAAAAAAGAGAGCAAAACCAAGAACAAAAATTAAGAGGCAGGTGGTGGCACCACTGAGCTAAACTCCCCAAGAACAAAAATTGAAAAGAAAATCAAAGCAAATTCAGGTATAAGCCTTCTCCCTGATTTTATTATGACATGAACTGCAGGTAGGTTTTGCTAGTTTTCACTTATCAGACAGAGATTCATCCAGATAACTAAGTTTAGTGGAATGGGGATGGAAAGGGAAGGAAATCAGCTTGATTCCAAAGCTCCTCTCATTCGGAATGAATTCCAGTATCTCTCCCCACCATGTCACCAGGAGCACATGGAAAATACTACTGAACTATACTCGTAACATGTGTTTGCCTATACTGGACAGGGGCCCAAGTACTTTGCTTTCTAATCTAAGACTGGAAATGTTCTGGTTGTTGCTTTAACAAATGAGACTACTGGCACAAAATCACCTTGACAGTCCTTACAAAGCCTTCATTGTTTATAGGGCCAATTCTACACAGCTCAGAGAAAGGCACAAAAGAGATGGTGGTAGCAGGCAACAGGAGACGGGTATAGGGTGGGGTGTCTTGAAGGCTGAAAAAATGGAGCTCATCTGGAGCCACTAGGTAGTGGTATCAGCAATAGATACTACATTTAGTCCTTCTTTCCTTTTCTAAAGAGCAAATATTTCTGAAGATCCAATGTTTACTGGACATCTTGTAATACAATCTAAAGAGAGAGAGTATTATTGATTCTGTATTCCAGATAAGGAAACCAAAGCTCAGAGAACTTAAATAGAGAATAGTAGTCTACTGTGGTAGATAGAACTTGAGCTTTGCAGCACCTGAGCTTGAATACTGGCTCCAGCACTACTCGGGTCTGTGATTTGGGGAAGGTTCTGAGTTTAATGCTCACCTCCATTCAACCACAAGATATAAGTAAGCAGGAACCATGTCTGTTCTGTTCACTACTGACCAGTCCTTAGTAAAATTATTTTTCAATAATAAAGTTATAAGACCAAAATAAATCCTCAATAGGATAGAGTTAGGTACTTTAAGATAAAGTGGGATGAATGCTACAAAACAGCCTGAACAAATTTCTACCATCAAGCTAAAAAATAGCTCTGACTAGGAACACAATTACTTCTTTACATCCCATTCACCTCCACCGAGGTACTGCAACCTGGCTGGAAAGTTTCTTAGTCCACATTTGAACCCTGAAAGTCTTATCCAGGTGTACTGTTTCCATAGGGGCCTGTTCTTTGTATTTAACTTTCCTGCTCAGATTTTCAAAGATTCTTGCCAAGTGAGATTCCAGGTTTTCAGTGAGCCTCCTGAACTGGCCCAGCTCCTTCAATATTCAAGTTGTTCAAATTTCTTTATAAACTTCTCCTGCCTTTTTAATATGGATCTCAATCTTTCTTGAATTTCTCCTAATGTACCTATACTTTTATGTTCCTGTTAAATAATTTCTTGTGTTCTAAAACCAATTCATCATGTAAATGACTTCAAAGGAGAGGGGGGTCATCAATAATCAATACTACCAAGTTCTGGGATCTTTCCATATTTTAAAGCACTTGGAAGGTCAGCAAAGGGAAGCTCAATAAAGGTAGAAGAAAAATGAAAGCCTAATTTGCTACACTCATAGATGACTGAATAAATCATAAGGGGAATATATTTTCAAATATAAAGAAAGGAAATGTTTATACATTTATCAAATAGTTAATGAATGTCTATCTGCCAAGGTCCTGTGTAATTTGCTGAGGACACAAAGCTAGTTCTGGCCTTTAAACGACTAATAGTCTAAGGCAGGGTTTCTGAGTCACAGTACCACAGATATTTGGGGAATGACCTCGCATGCTTGTTTGGGGGAGCAGGTAGAGCTGTTCTGCGTAGCATAGGATGGTAAGCAGCATCTTCTCTTTACACACTAGATACACACTAGATTCACACAGATACTGCCAAAGGTCACCAGAGCAATAAAGGTGTCTAGTTGAGAATCACTAGTTTGGGGAAAGCAGAAAATTTATATAATACCTGTGACATAAGTATTGATATTAAAATTTTTGAGAGCGAGAAGAAGGCTTCTTAATTCTAGGGGAAAGTGGGAGAGGATGCCATAGAAAATTTCACAGAATCAATGACTTTTAATGCTCAATATCTTAAAAATATTTAGTATTAGGTTAAACAAGTGAAAATAGGGACACTTAGGGACCTAGCAGGGGAACAGGAGAAGAATGAGGAAAGAAAGGTCATTGAGGCAGGGACAAGAAGATGAACTAAGGCCTGGAGGAAAGAGACCACCGAATATTCAGACAATGAAGGACTGTTTGCAGGGGGAGAACAGAAATAAGACTGGGGTCAGATCATGCTAAGAAAGGAATAAAACTTTTAATATAAGGGAATAAATCTACGTTTTTAGCTTTTTGTGTGTGTGCACTCAAGATTGAACCCATGGCTTGTGCATGCTATGCATGAATTCTACCATTGAGCTGCACCTCAGGCTTTAAATATGTATTTCAAACATAGGGAAGAGCTTTTACCAAAAGAGCCTTCCCTTGCTCTACAGTACGTTAACCTGCTCAAAGCCAACTGCTTTAGCTAGATCATGGTCCACTCAGTTTCCCTTCAGTTTCTTTCTTTCTTTTTTTTTTTCTTGTTTGTTTGTTTTCTTTTGGTACTGGGGATTGAACTCAGGCCCTTGTGCTTGTGAGGCAGGTGCCAGAACCACTAAGGTAAATCCCTGGCCCCTCCCCTCAGTTTCTAAGATGGATCCTTGAGGCACATCTGTGGGACCCTAGAGCTCTGGGACATGGGCTGGAAAAAGCAGTGTTGCAGGCAACTTGGCACCGCTGAGAAATCTGAGTGCAGAATTTGCTTTTCAGAAAAAGCTCCCTAGAGGTAGAGCTGAATACTGAGACGGGACAACAGGGAAAGCCCAAAGGTACAGCAACCAGTCAACATTTCACACGTGGGTTTCACTTGTGGACTAGCTGTAAGGCTCTAACATACAGGGAAAAGCACATTGGTTTTGGAGTCATGACAATGCAGTTTAAAATTCCTCATGAGTCACTTTGACCTTAGGCACATCATTTGCTGAGCTCTATTTTTTTGTTCTGCAAAATGGGGCTACCTACATCACTTGATCACTATAAAAAATATGTAAGCTGAGAGCAAGTACTGACAGAGATAAGCACTCAGCAAACAAATATGTATCCTCTTCTTTCACTGAGTTACTTTATGAGCCTCACTGATCCAAGGGAACCTTGAGTATGGGGAGAGAGAATAGATTGTTAGTGGATCTTTTACTTGGTATAGAACAGATAACAGAGTTGTCTTTCAAAAGAAGATTTTTTTGAGTGACCTGGTGCATGAACCACATGTTTGCAGAGAGGTATTTGGCTTCTTACTTTGGGATCTGCCAGGACTTCTCATGAGAGATCAAAGTAAGAGTAGATAAAACGTAAGTACTCCATGTGTCTGGCTCAGAGACAGTGCCTCAGTTCTTTTTCAGTTTAGCAAAGCTTGTATCTATTCCGTGGTTGGGAAATCAGCAGTTAAAAACTTGATCTGTATATAAATCTTCCAGGAGATCAAGCTTATATTATAAAATCCAAGTTTCTCTCCATGCTTTCCTGTCTTATATCAGTAAGTACTTCTTCAGCAGTGAATATTTATATCTCTCTTGGAGAAAGCAATCTTTATAACCAGAGCATCAGTTTGTTTTCTCTTGTCTTTCCCGTTTATCATCACAATGGTAATACATTGTCAGTTAAAAGAAATACTCCCCTGTAACAAGGTGAACAGAACGGAGCTCTGGAATATAACTGGGTGAATTAGTTCCAGAATAAGCAGAATTCAGACAAGGCATTTGAAGATCACAAGCAGTGTCTGCAACTAAGTGTATTATGCCAGAAGTCTTACAGAACCAGATACCTTCAGAATTTCGAAAACAGAGTAATTAACAAAAGTTCTGGATACTCTCCAGGCCATCTCAGCTCCTGTAACAGACAATCTATCTTCTCGCACAGTTACAGGTGCCCTGGACTCCACACTTCCCTTTTCTAGCACAGAAGTCAGCATTGTGACCCACTCTTAGCAACTAATGTGAAGCATCTAACGTGAAGATCTCAGCAGGCTTACCTCTGAACAAGGGTTCCAAAGACAAGACGGAGACATTTCTGCATGTTTTCAGTGCACAGCCATTTCCACTGCTGCATGAAGAGCAAGAGGATCAGATCCAGTGCTGTGTCAGCTAACTCTGTCTCTGCACCTGAGGGCCAGAAGAACATCACAGGTAACTAAGGAGAGGACCCCACATCAGGAATGTCTTTCAGTGCCCTGGATGGAAGCTGGGTCCCCTCTACTTTAGTATGGACCATGACATAATATTCCCTCTGCACTGAAATCAGGAGATAATGTACTTTATATCTAGTAAGTTTAGTGATAGCCTTTTCGTTGGTTTGGTTTTGGTTTTTTTGAGACAGGGTCTCACTATGTAGTCCACACTGGCCTCAAACTCACAGTGATCCTCCTGCCTCAGCCTCCCAAGTGCTGGGATTACAGGTGTGTGCCACTATGCCCGCTTACCTAGTATTTTTTAAAAAATACTTTATATACAATTATTTTATTTACCTAGCTTCCATTTCTTCTATATTTCCCCAGTATGCTGAATTCATTCTGTCCCAAGTGAGAACTCACAACTGGTGAGAACTCACAACTGGCAAAGGCTTGTCCCTTCCATCCTTGCCTTCCAGTCACCCCCACAATGTATCATGGAAATGTTGTAGGCAGATTTGGGAAAGATTTGGGCTACATTATCCTGAAAAACCATCTCCATTACACAGACCTGTAGGGTGGAGATTCAGGAGGCTTTAGTTTGATTCTCAGATAACATGTGGTTCTAGGGAAAGTACCACACCTGTGGAAAAATGCCATGACATTTACTGATTTCTTGCCTGTTTTGAAGATCTGAAGGGCCACAGATGAGCTTATTTTCACACTAAGCTGGAGTTTCCTGAACACATATACTCTAGGGACAGAAACACCTACTCTTTAACCTTGTGCCACATAGGGTAGATGTACCCATTTCACTTCTGATTTACTTCCCTGGAAACTTCCCCAGGAGGTACACCATATTCCACAGTGAACGTGAGATGCCTCATCTTAGCCCTGTGTTTAGTATTATAACAAACCAACCTGTTAGTCTAAATCTCACAGAGGTTCTCTCATCCAGTTTGCCCCAGCTCTCGTCTGTTAGGAGTCCTTTAGAACATGAATGACTTCAAATCTGAATGGATGTGCTAGAACTGAATTCCATTTCCCTCTAAACCCCATCTGAAACATATTTTCTCTATCTGTCCTGTGTCCAATGGGCATGGGAGCTGATGAGTTGCCTTCTGGTGATTTGCTCAAATGTGGGTTTGCCTGCTCCTTGGGAAATAGCATCCTCCTCAGTGCAATAAACTCCTCAGGTTAAGCATTTGCCTGAAGCTGCCACCAAGTGGCAACACTTAGTCATAGCAGTAAAAAAAGTGGAAAGCAAAGTGCTGCTAATTTGTCTACAAGTAATACATTTCTTTCATAAGAGCATTTTGACTCTTTCAGGCTAGAAAAAAGGGCTCAGGCATACACTATCCCTTTAGAGATACAATATTCAAAACTTGTGGGCTTTATTTTGGGTAGAATGATATTGTTTTTGCTCATTCTTTTTATTTATGATATCTTAAGGGGGTCTCAGGTGCTTACCCATACCACTTCTTTCACTTATTCAGTGAGATGTGCCTGCAAATCCCACTTGTCATGTATTTCAATTGAGCTCCAAAGAGCAGAGAGCTGGTGATTTGTTCATAGGCCCCAAGAGACAACGGTGAAGTTGGCTTCTGTTGTTGTGATCTTCTTCCCAACAGAGGTCTCTGTCTTGGTGGAGTCCATGAGTTTTCTTCTTTGACATTTTAGTTCAGCAAGTATACTAGTTAATATTTAGGGTTCTGAAATTTTCCTCCCTAGAATACATCTGCTCTTCCTCTTCTGGGAAGCAGGAGCCATGTCTCAAATCCTTACAAGTAGAAAGCAGAGCCTACACCTCTTCCCTTTCCCTATTCTACTCAGGAGAATGAGGCAGTATCATTAGGTACAGCAGTAAATAAAGCAGAAGGAACAGATCTGGTGAGAAAGATGCATTCTACTTTGGACATGTCATGTTCCAAATGCTCTACAATGTCCGGTATACAGACATTACTGGCAGTATGGATAGGATTACCTAGGGAAAATGTACAGAGAACAAGTAGAGAACCAACTGAACCTCCAGAAGGCTGATAAAGAAAGACAGTGGACCACAAAGGGACCACAAAAGAGACACAAAGAAAACCAGGAAACTGGTATCACAGACAGTGAGAAAAGAAGTTCCAGATAAAGATAGTAATCTCATATGTCAGAGTACGCCAAAAATGTCTTACATGAGACACCAACATTATAGCTTGTTTCTGTTCCTGCTGGGTAAGCACTACCTGTGTCTGTGCTCTGCCCTCATGCTTGCCTTGGTGGTGGTGACTATGTCCTCCTTATCTCTGGCCCAGAACTCTCATGCTAGAGTCCAACACATGTTTTGCTCAGCTAAAACAACAGAAATTAAAGCTACAAAGATCAACTCTCCCAAGTGCTGGTGGATTTCACTTTGGCTCCCTTCTCTGGGAGAGCAGAGACCTTGCCACTTACCTGGATCACTGCTGCTCAGGTGTTGGGCTGACACAGCTGCACCTGACAAGCAACTGTCCACATATCTCTTGGGGATTTGTTCTGAGGCTTCTGTTGGCTGCATTCCCAGTATTTCTGTCTGCTTTTTAATAAAGGATTCCATTCCAGACATGGACAGGATCTCTGACTCCTGAAGAAATAGCCAGTGGCACATCACATAAACAATGCAGGAAGCGGGGTGCAAACGCAGCACTCTAGATCTCCCCACATCTCACTTGCAAAATAGCTGTGAGCACAGAACCCATTGAATGAGACTATTCAGGGAAGTTTCTCTTTACCCAAGGTGCAAATCAAACAAACCTGTCACAGCACCACCACTTCTGAACACTCGAATCTCTGTTCTCTTCCAGAAAGGGACTCTCTTCCTTTCGCTCATTATCCCACATGTTTTGCTTTTAAGAAATCAACCTGACAACTCATAATTGGTAGGAATTCAGTCACTCAAAGAGAACATAAAACTTGAGACCCAGATGTTAAGTTAAATCCTTTAGAAGGACACTGAGTCGTAACTTTAGAGACTGTTTTAACTTCCTATAACTGCAGGATCAATAGGCCACATCTTACTCCTTGCAGTTCTCTGGGCTGATTTGGTTCTCACCGCATTGCTTTCCTGCAGACAATAGAGAATCCTGTCATGTGTTTCTGTCACATTCAGTGCTGGAGCAATTTTGCTGGAGGAGAATCTCAATCTTGACCTGGTAGAGAAACAAGTGACACAAACAATGTAGTTCATGGTTTTGATACCTGTACAAAAGGCTGGCAAGTGCTGGTAATACATCAAAGCAAGAACACTCAATACTTATTCTTGGGAGCTTACTGTGCCAAGTAGCCAGGAAAAACCAGGTGTTGAAATTCTCCAAACAAGGCATATTCTGGCAATTCTTCACAGATAGTGCTACTTTTATAGTAAGCCATGTCTTCATTGTACTTGTGAAAAGTGTTTTGCCAATAAATAGAAACAAGTTTGTCATGGTCATATTCCCACAGGCTAGAAAAGTAGTAAGTACATACTATGTACATAATATTAAAAATTTGTTGAAGATTAAATAAAGAGCATAGTCTAAGGATTTTTGTTATTGTTGGTACCCTTCTGTGGAACCATTTACTTCCATGTTCTAAAGAAAACCAGAGAAAGAACTGCAAGTGATAAAAAATGTTTCAGGAACTAGAAGATTCACCAGCATAAGTATTAAGGTCACCTTTTCAAACATGGGTCTGATTTAAAAAGACTAGGCAATTGAGTCTGGTATTGCTGGCCCTCAACATGAATACAGACAGCAACAAACAAGAATGGTCAGTGACTGCCCCTCCTACTTCCTCATAATGATTCAGATTCACATGAAATTTCCAGGAAGGGAAAGTGTGGGGCTCTTGTCTTCCACATGTTGTTGTGGAGGGCTGCCAGGGAACAGCTGGAGCCCAAGTGCAGGAGAGAACAGCAGCAGTCAACCAATTATTAAAATAGGCCCTGCAGGTTTCCATTCTAGGCTTTTCCTGTTTATTGCTAGTATACGTACTTTCTGAGCCAAAATTTCCAGAATGACGGCAAAGAGAAATAGTTATAAGCCTTAATTCTTAGTAGGAAAGAAATATCTCAATTTCCCAGGAACACAGAAAAAAGAACATCCATATTCTAGTTTTCCTTCTTGTCACAACTCGGTGGTCATTTGGGACCCCACTTCTCATGGCAAGAGCAAGCACTCAGCAGCACTGCCTCTGCATCACATTTGGCTCCCCTGGTGGAGCATCAGGGAGCCCAGGGTCTCTCACCTAAAAGCAAGTACATCAGATCTCCCTCCTCTCTTCTAGGGCCTGCAAACAGAAGTGAGCTCTGGCTGAGGATTAGGGATCAATCTGACAATTGGGGAAAGGTTCCTGGGCCACTGGAGGGCTGCTCACTTGCTAGCCTTCTTGCCTTCTGTCTGTGGCTTGCTTTCGTTCTCAGCTTCACTCAGCTCCTCTGTGGGGCTCTGGGGCTCAGAGCGGGGAAATGCTGTCTTCAACGTGTCCACAATGGCACTCACCACCATCTGCAGGGTTGGAGTTGCAGGGTCAGTAAGTACACTCAACCCCAGAAAGAAAGCACCCAATCTCAGAGCAATCATCTCACTGTGCTTTGTGCAACAGAACAGCCAGGAACTGGGCCGTCTAGCACAGCCTTAACTATTAGCGAAGTCAAACATCAGTCAATGACAACATCCTTCCTTTCTCTATGGCCATGAAAATCCTCTTATTGCAGAGTAAAATGAACAAGGCCATAGAAAAATAAGCCTAAACAAATCATGAAATAAATAAGGACCAACCTGGGAGTTTTGCAGGCTGGTGAATATTTTTCATTTTCAATTTTTTTCCTTTTTACCTAAAAAGGTGATTTCTAGTCTCCAAGATAATACCTTCAAGATGTGAATAAGTGAATGTAACACAGGTAGGGGTATAAGAACAAAAAGAGTAAAAAAAAGAGAGTCTACAGGCATAAATAATACATAAACGCTTAGAGTAATTCACATGGAGCAAATAACTTTTTTCTAGCCAAGTCAAATAACTCTTTAGATACAAAAATAAATACCACTCATATCAAAATTAAAGTATCTGGAGTTAATATAAACTTTGGTACTCATAAAAGCAAAATAAATGATCTTCAATGAAAAATAAGAAAGGGCTCTACTCAGAATGGGAAAATAGCACACAGACATTTGCTTAAAAAATAAAATATACAAATAAAATCCTAAACTATCAAGAAATGGAAGGAAACCCTTCCATTTCCCTTTCCTCATGCCTCTCCCTAATTAACACTGCAGGCAGAGCACTACACTATGCCTTTGTTCCCTTGTTCTGTGACAGTCCCCCACAGGGAGCACAATTAGCACATCTAATAATCAAGGCTCAGTGTCACCAAGACCACAGGGAAGACTAGGGAGAACAAACCAGAGCACAGGACTGCATCAACTAGCTGATGTAGCTAAGAAAATACAACTTGCTCCCTGGGCTCCAGAACTGTGGTTTGTGGGAGGGTCCTCACATGTCCCATTTACTTCTGTATCACTGGAGACTAGCATGGTGCCTGACTCAGAACAGGCATCCAATTGGGAAATGCTGAATCAGTGAAAGAACACACCTGTGTGGGACTCTGTTGATCTCCTTTTAGTGAGTGGTTTTCCCATAGCAGTGGAAGTCCCCTGACATGTGTCCTATTCATCTCCACTGTACTTTGTCCCTCCAGCCCCAGATGAGAAGATGGAAGTCCTTCTTCTGCCAATGAGTCTGTGTTTCTCATCCATGTAAAACATATGGCCATCTTCTAATGAAAACAAACCTCAGGCTTCTTCCCTGAAGGTCGGTGACCAGCTGGCCATTATAGCTTACAGGCTTGGATGTGCTCCACTGATGTCCTACCATCTCCACAGGTACTGACACACTTTCATGAGAAGATGTCTCTAGCAGGGAAGCATTACACCACTTTAAATCTGCTTAGTTTTCCTGTCTGTGGATTTTCCTTCCTGAGTGATCAACTCTGAGAATCACCTTTTCCCTCCAGAAGGAATCCCAACTATGGAGGTTCAGATGTACCCTTATACACCTTCACTAGAATGATAATATCACAGTCTCCCAGGAGATACATGTGTACTTACAGAGTTAGGGTATTGTCTATTAATAGCAGCTCACTATGGTTTAGCAGGTTGTAGAGCCAATGACTATTTGACAAAAGGTCTTAAAAGTTCTAGTGCATGTTCTGTTGAGTGCTCTATGATGTCTCTCCCCCGTGTCCTATCCCCATTATTTCCCAAGCCCACCCTCCACTCCAGCGCACACTCCACATTTACAAACAGAAGCAGAAGCTGTGCAACGGCCCTCGTGGTACCTTGTCTATTCTAGAGACCATGAATGGTTTCTTGACAAAGGCAATACGAGCATCAGTGTTCAGAGCAAGGAACTCCTGTACCTCCTCACTGTTAGCGATCTCAGGAATAGCACAGAGTTGCTGCAAAAGCAAGACAAGAGGATTTTAAAGAGGAATTTTGGTCCCCAGATCTTTCCACCTTACCTTGTGCATGTGTGGCTCAGAATGAGAACAAAGCCAAGGAGAAGATGCTGACCTTTAGGAATGATTCCAGGAGGCTCTTACGGGCTTCTACTCTGTCACTGTCCATGTTTCCAAAGGGAAGATCTGGAAAGAGCTTTTTTGGACCCTTTACATCTTCAAAACAAAACAGAGTTTATTCATTAAGCATTCACAAAGAGCTTACTCATAAAAATATAAAGAAAACAATTATTGAATATATTTCCCTGGGATTTTTAACTTAATTTCAGGAGTTCCAAATACATCCCAAATTACAAATCCCAAAATGCAAATATTGATATGATAAATACAATGTACTCTCTCATTATTATGAAGAGAAGCATAACAATGGCTAAAAGTGGCTAACAATGGCTGAAGTCCAATGGTCCAAATTCTAAGCCCTACTGTAATAATGACCTATGACTTTGCTTATTATCTGTATAAAGGGGATAATGTACTTTGTCTCCCCAAAAATAAGGCCTCGTCAGAAAATAATCAGGCTTGAAAACCAGCCCCAATCAGCCTATCCTTTCCTTACTTGCCTCATAGAGTAGCCACTGAGCAAGAGGACAGTGATAGTAGGTAAGACATCCTGTCTGACCGGGGCTGGCATTTATCTCTAGATTTCAAAGCCAATTATTTTCTGGCTAGGTCTTATTTTCAGGGAAAGTGGATAGCATTTGTCTCATAGTTATTATTTGAGAATTAAACAAACTAGCAGGTGTAAAGTGCTTAGAAGAGAACCTTTTGTGAACAAGCCTGCCTCAGTATTAGGTGCTATTAAGAAATTAAATGCATACTTACTAAAATGTGTATTTGGGTGATCAGCATTTTTAAAAAATACAGTAGCCAGTTATTAGCTTATCCTAAGAGTTAAATTTACTACATTTTATTTTCTCTGTGCTGTGGAAATGTTGAACAGCACAAAAATTTTCCGGTTGTTAAAGGAAAGAAAGTGACAAGGACTTCTGGATACCATTTTAATATTTAAGAGTCATCTATGGTTCTGGAAAGGGTCATTTAACTGTTCACATTGTCTCATGGGTACAGGTAGAAATGTGTGAATTTTAAGATTAAAACTAGGTGGGGCTCCAGAACAAGGCATTTAGCAGGCAAACACTACCTCAGAAAGAATGTGATCAGAGCTGTCCATCTCTAAACCTCAAAACTTCTAAGCAAGACTTGGGGAAGAGAGAACCCCAGTCCTGGATTCTTTTTCCCCAAACCCACAGGCCAACAAGCATTCAGGTCAGTGTGGTGACGGGTGAGAAGCAAACAGACAGTCCAGTGACAGGGAAAATGCTGACTTTTGATGAACTTCCGTAGATCTGGTTTCTCCTCCAGACGGGTCTGCAGGTTCAAGAACTCCCGGTAGCGGCGGTTTACAGTGTGGTAGGCCAGCTGCTGAAGGCCACTGCTGTTCTCACTGTTAAGGGCTGTCTCGTACTGTTGAAGGAACAGATTTATTGACCAAATGAGCCAGGTCTAGACATTCTTCTACTCTGGCTTTAATGACTGCTTGCTCATTAGCACAGGGACAGTAGAGTGAAGATAAAGGTAGGGAAATGTTCCTGTTCTGTTGCAGAACCTGCTGCATGTGAGTGGAATACAAACTCTAAAGGAGGCTGACTGAAAGAATGAGATGTACTTTCTGATACACTTCGCCCAGGAAGTCAGAAATGAGTTTCACTGCTCCTATGACTTCTCCCCAAAAGCTCCCTCCCCCAGACACATAGCTTTGTTTATAAAAATGGACAAATCACTCTATATTAGCCCCAAAGACTGAGAGTGAAACGGAAGGTGAATCACCTATAAAAGGGATTGTATTTCTATCACCTCTAAATTATAAGCTGGACATTCTAAGGGGAAAATCTTTTTTGCCATAAACTCAACCAGTGATGATCTCTATTAAAAGCAGGAAGAACAATTTAAAACAGCAGATGTGCAGAAGTCATTTCTTTGCCTGGAATGAATTAAAGGGCATGTGTTTTTGTTTTGCTTTGGGCAGATTAATGTTTCTGTTGTTCTTAGAAGTAAACTGAAAGTTTTTCCTAAGTACAGGGTACATGGTATTTGTATCACTGGAAGTCACATGATGATTGGAGATGCTGCACAGGGTCTGAGTATGCTGCCTCCACATGCTTGAAGGGCTGGCAGTGGGAAGGATGACGTGTACTGCATGTTCCCGGAAGACAGAGCACCCTGAATATATGGAAGTTGTGGCTCAGTGCAGAATTAGTTTGGATACAGTGAAATGCTGTGGGACAGTTATATATGTGCTAACTCTTACTAGGAATGGGTTACTATTATTGCTTGGCAGAGGCATTGTACTGTGGCCAGTGATGGAAACAACTATCTCCTTGTTGGCTGGACTTGAGGCTGATGTATTCAAATTTTCCAGAGGTAGAGAGGGAGATGTATTCACAATTAGCTGAGGTGAGCTAAGGAGTTCCTCAGACCAGTACGGAAAGGAAAGACAGACAAGTGGAATTTGGGGTTGGGAGACTCAGACTTGGAGAATACTAGAGTTATGATGCTTTCTGTGGGATATTCTACTCCTTGAGTACTTAATTATGTGTTCACTTCCATCACATAAACTGAATATTTTACTATCATAAAGTATAAAATTGATATATAATTTAGAATCATGCCCATATAAAAATCTAAATCCAACCCAATCTCAAACCATGCACAATTGGCTACATGATCCTGTTACTCATTCATTTACCTTTTTCTTTTTAATTTTAATTTTTATTATTACATGTTTTATTAGTACATTATTAGTACACAACGATCACATTTACTCTGGGGAGTTGGCATTACATAACACATCTTAATTCCTTTTTTATCCCTTTTCCCCCCTCCATCTCTTGGTGTCTTTCCCTTTGCAAAAGATCTATCTCAGTTTCCTATTATCTATCTTTTATTTTATTTATATTTTGGGTTTCTCTTGAGACTATTAAGTGAAATAAATCAAATACATTTTACCCTTTTCTAATGCCTACTTTGAGTAGTAGAGGCTGGTATCAAAATCCGCAATAAAAAAGTAATAGATAATAGAAGAATATGATCTAAAGTATTTTTGTCAGCTTAAATTTTCTACTAATGAAGGAAAAACTGTTCTTTAATATAATGTTAGAATATGCTATTGACAGAAGATGAAAGAACCACAAGCCAACACTTTTATGTGAGAAAATTGTAGGCTATTTGGAATTAGAGCAAAAAGGCAGGGAAAATGTTAACAAAGATATACCTGTCTTTTGAGGCTAGCTTGAGTTATTCAGGACCAGACTTCTAAAATTTACCTATTTTATGAGGAATGTGCTTGTTTGACTGCATGCATGTGACTGAGTACATGTGCTTCTAATTACTTCTACTGTCTTAACTTGAAAATGTCACAGTGTTCCTTTTCAAAATGCTAGGTCATATTGCAGCTGGGTCCAGCAGATTAGGGAAAGCACTCTCACTTTTACCTGGATTGGGATTTCCCAGGAGGGATGGAGTACCCACGCTTGTGGCTGTGTTTGGACTCAGAATGAAAGAAATTCAAGGAGAAGGCAAGTAAAATTCAATAGACAGGGTCTTGCTCAGGAATCCTCTTACCAAATATTTTCCCTCTTAGTTTCTTTTGTTCTTTTAAAAAATACTAAAATCTTTTGCACTTTGTTTTGAGAAGATTATTTCCATCAGATGGTATAGTAAGTTCCTTATTTCTGGAGATGTTTAAGCACAGACTTGGTAACCACCTGGCAGAGAGGCTATGAAAAGGGATGGTTAGATTAGAGCAGATTCTTCAAAATGCCCTCAATGCTACCTCCACACTCTATTTTTAAAAATATATAGAATCCTTCAACTCATTCTTTGAAATTCTCATTCAGAATCTGTCAGTCTGTCAGAATTGGTATATAGTATTTAAAAAGCAGCCCAAGCAATTATGAAATACAGCCAGGTTTAGGAACCACTGAAAACTTAAGTGTCAGTATTGTAACAATCCTGAGCTTCTAAGACTGTTTGTGTGGATAAAGAATAAGTCTACTCTGCCTTACAAATTAATTAGTTTCAGACCATTCCCACAAGTTTGTTGAATTAAACACAGCAAATGAGTTGTCTCCCTGTGAACATTAGCTTCACTGACTCTGCTCTCCAAACCCATTCCCAGCCCAGAGCCAGTGCCCACAACTCTAATCTGGTTACCTTCACAGTGTAGAGCGTGTACGGGTGGAATCCAGTGCCACTGTGCTCTCGGGCAGTAATAGTGCCAGTGATACGAAGGTTCTGGATGACAACTGGCCCATCTGGACTGCTCAGGGGCTCAAAGCTAAAGGTACCTGAGCTGAGAGGACCAGGAGGAGAAGAGGAAAGTGAAACCTGTGGCAAAGTAGGATCCAGAGAACTCACACCATCTGTGAGATCCTTCTCTAAGCATGAGGGTCGTGCAGGGCAGTTCTTTTCTGATTCCTCCAGCAAAGCTGTAAGGGAGGTGACATCTTGTTCTACCTCCTTGTCTGCAGTGTCAATCTGGATTTCTGGGCAGGAGTTTAGCACAGATACCAGCAGACCCGACTCTATTTCTGTCCCTGGACCCTCCTCAGCCTCTGTTCCTTCAGTACCCTCGGACCCCTCACCATCCTTAGGCTCCAGAACCTGGGTATCTTCTAGGGCACACAGAGCATCCTGGATCCTGTCAGAGAGGAAGTTACCTGGGGTCATTAGCATGATGGTTTCTTTACCCAGTTCAGAGAGAGGAGACTCTAGCTCTGAGTCTTCACATAAGAATAAGGGGCCTCGAATATTTGGCTGTAGAAAATGAGTTGAGTTGTTTCCTATTTTTCTTTCTTCAATAATCCCACCCAAATCTTCCTCTATAGCTTCATGGCCTTCTTCAATCTCAGGGGAGGGGCCTGCTTCACTGTAGTTTAGAAGCACTGTGGCTGTTCCTGGAGAAGGGTCTCTCCCTTCTGGCAGACTCTCCACCTCAAGACTCAGTGGTAGAGATGTGGGCACTGAGGGCTGCTCCAGAGCACCAGGGGTGTAGAATGGTTTAGCTGCTTGTACAGGATCATTTCTGGCCCTGGAAAAGATACCCACAAGTATAAGGTGGATCCAATCAGGATCTGTCAGCTTGTTGATCAGTGGTAAGATTACACCACAAGTAATGAGTTCAACCACGACATGGCGTCCAGTCCTAGTTTCCAAGTGGGGCTTGGGCACCAGACCTTGAAGCAACAAATTCACAATGCCACGTGTATGTGCAACCTCAGCACTGGGGCTGTGCACAGCAGGATGTGGGGCAGTAGCCCTGCAGTATGCCTCCCAGAGCTGGGAGGGCTGAACTGTACCACTCTGCTTCCCTTCAGTGGCCTCCTTTGCCTGAATGTAGCTCTGCAGGTGACAACCACAGAGAGTCAGAACCCTCTGGGCAAGAGCATGGGTGTCCACCATGCCCATCCTCCTCCGAAGTTCCCGTACCAACCCTTTCATGGCCGCTTCCATCTCTTCCTCAAAGGCTGGTTCCTGGCTCACTGAACGATACCAAGATAACACAAAATCACGAATAATCATCTGGATGGTGCGGTCAATCTCCAGTTCCAGCTGTCTTTCTGCCTCAGGGCATGGAGGGCAGGTGGCTACTGGGATGAAGCGTTCCAAGTGGAGTCGACCTGAAGCTCCCACAATGGCACTGGAGCCCAGCCACCCTCCCAGCACCATGAATAGTGCAAAGAGAAGGCACAGAAGCCACACACTGACCAGGAGGTGGATGACCAGGAGCCAGCCGAGCAAGACCCCCACAACCATCAGCTTCCGGCTACTCCACAGGTTACTGAAGTTACAGCAGGACTCTGCTTGGGTCTCCTGGGTGGGGGGCCCCGTGTCTGCCTTCATGGCTGAAAGAAGTAAGGCTTCTCTAGATGACAGCCTCCTTTCAATTTTACTTCAGTGGCAGGTAAGGGGGCACGAATTGCGATACTGATAAGAGATGATCTGGGCTTCTATGCAAAGATTTGGCCAGGGCTAGGGCTCTTCAAGTCCTACAGGTACTACAAGTGACGAGGGGGCAGCCCTGTTTCTCAGGCCGCCGTCAACACAGCCCTCCACCAGCCGGTTCCAGAGGGGGAGAAGCTATACTGGAGCGAAGCTCCGCGGCGTCTCGAGGGCCCCGGCCGAGGGCTGTCCCGCAGGTTCGGAAGGCTGTGCGGAGACACTTACGCTGGTGCTCAGTGGAGGCCAGGATCCGGGCGCTCGTCGCCGAGGGCCGCGCGCCCAGCTGAG